ATTCTTTGCTGATCGTCACTGTTCTGAGGTGTGTGCATCAAATAATAGGCAGTTTTCAAGCCTCTTTGACAGGTGCAATTACACGCAACCAGACTCCCACACGAATAAGCCTGATGAAGTCAGACATCTGTTTTCCTACATACACAGCTCTCATCCCACTAGTACCTCATGATATTCTTTCCTCTAGTGGAGTATGATAAGTGGTAAGTTCTCAGGAATTTGAATACTTGAATTAATCCTCAAACAGCCCAGCCATCTACCATGGCCATAGATGGACACACAGACATGAGATGACCCAAAGGAGAAACATATAGTGAGGACAGTGCCAGACTAATGGGACAGCAGGAAGGAACTGCTGGCCTTTAGCTTCAGAATTTACCCTGACAACGTAGGTTAACTTCCTGTGCACATCAAAGTCTCGTTTTACCTAGAGTGAGAAGACTTAAATTAGCTTCAGATTAAGGCCAAGCAATTTCCACGGTTCTCTTCCAGCAGCAATGAAGAGGAGTAAGAGAATCCAAAAATACAAATTCCAAGAGATGCTGATCACAACTAGTGGATGAATTAAATAACCGTGAGAAAATAAAACCTGCAGACAGAGCGTGAACTGCCTGCTTTTCAGGCTGAAGACTGTAACTCAGTGACTGCCCTTGTCATGGGCTTATGGCCATTCTCTTGGAAGAGATGGATAACATGGAAGGAAGTCTGGGTAACATTACTATTGCATAATCCAGGACAATGAGGAACACAGGAGGCCTTGCTAACACAGGAGGCCTTGTTAACACAAGGGTTGGGCTATACTTTTGCTAAATATTAATTCCTCTATTTCATAATGATTTTTACTATTTTGAACTGAATTGCATATAAATATTGCTGTTTCATTGTAGCAGAGTTATACCCTGTTGATATATATCTATTGATAAATTACATGCAATCACATCCTCCCCAATGCCTAATTAATAAATTCATCCTTTGATAGGTTTGGTTTTATAAGTTGAAGGCCACAAAATGGAAATTTGCTTCTTCTCTTTCTTTCTCTCCTAATCAAAATATTGGCTGTAAAAATATTTACTATCATAAAACAAATTACATTGACTACATGCTATATCAACTGATTATTTATTTATTTATTTATTTATTTATTTATTTATTTATTTGAGATGGAGTCTCACTCTGTCACCCAGGCTGGAGTGCAGTGGTGCAATCTGAACTCACTGCAACCTCTGTCTCCTGGATTCAAGTTATTTCCAAATAATTTTTGTATTTTTAGTAGAGACGGGGTTTCATCATGTTGGCCAGGCTGGTCTCAAACTCCTGACCTCAAGTGATTTGCCTGCCTCGGCCTCCCGAAGCACTAGGGTTACAGGCATGAGCCACCGTGCACGGCCTCAACTAATAATTTCTATTTAAAGACTGTATAAGAGATAATTCTTTATAAATGGAAGATTAACAAGAGATTTGTACATAAATCTTCTATAGTCCATGCCCCTTAGAGCAATATTTTAATACATTTTTTATGTAATAAATTTATGCTGTTTTAGGTACTATGGTAGGTGTAATGTAGGCAATACTGAACAGAGCTGATATAACCCTGTCATTATGGCATACACAGATCAACACAGAAATGAATATATAATTTTCATTTTGGCTACATATGTTATTGTCCTCCGATACTCAATATTACTGGACACTTATTAAGTGCCTTCTACATGTCAGGCATTAAGTAAACAAAAGTAATAACACTCAGATCCGCATTCAAGTGTCTTAAGCCCCAGTTGGAGACAGACCCATACTTACATTGTTTGAAAGAATAGTGGAATTAAATGAAACTGAAAAATTGAAGACAGTGCCTAAAAATGTTGATGTATTTATTTCTGGGAGTCTGGGCTACTGCTTTATCTTCCTTCTAGCCTATCACATATTCCATATTTTATATATTCTACGTTTCACAATAGAAATATAAGAATTTGTTTATAATCTATGAATGTATAACTGCACCAATAAATAGTGAATGTAGTAAGTAATGCATTACATCAATTAAAGGAAAGCATCAAGGGTTGGAGTGTAATGGTGGAAGTAATGTACTAGTTAGCAAAAATGATATCTAGTTGGTAAAAGTCAAGTTGACAAATCTAGATAGAATAGTGTAATCAATAAAGTAGAGGGAAGGAAGTCATATTCCAACTATTGAATTTAGCATGTGGAAAGGACCTGAGACTAGAATGTTAATGGTGGGATCTAGAATGCCTTCAATAAGAGTTTTGAGTTAATATAAATGCTACATTGGAGATGAGGCTGGAAAAGTGGATTGAGGCTAGCTTGTGGAGGGCCCACAAAATCCACGGTCATTTAAGTAGTGGAGAATAATTTAGGATTTGAGGAAGATGGTTCTAATTAGTATTTATTAAGAGATCTCACTGTGTTGACCAGGCTGGTCTGAAACTCCTGGCCTCAAGAGATCTCTTCTCTGCTAGAATTTCAGGAGTGACCCACTGTGCCCGACAAGTTAGTATTTACTTAGATGATCCTAGCAATAAAGACTAAAATGGGTTGGAGATGTGAGGTGAGCGGAGTTTAGGCACAACCATTGAATACTATAAGATGGTTTAGTTGCTCTGACTTCATGTGAGGACTCTGAATAGACTAGTAGAACTAATATTGAAAAGGAAGAAATAGATTAACAGATGTGATTCGGAAATAACTGATAGGACTCCCTAACTACTCATGTTTGTTGGTAATGTGATAACGAACAATCAAGGATGACTCCAATGCATTGGACTTGAGTGACAGGGGCAGTGTCATAGTGCAGAGAGAAAAGATAAATTTAGAGAATTAGGCAAGTTAGAAGAAACAAGATGAGTTCATTTTTGCTGTATGTGGTATGACTCTACAACAGTGATGCCCAGGGATGTGGTACCTTGGCACACAGGCAACAAGTGAAGGTCATATATTTAGCTTTCAAAAATATATAATCAGGTAAGTGGTAATTTGATTAAACTCTTTATACTTTATGGCAACCTTCATCTTTGTATTCCACAGCCTATTACACATATCTTGAATCATTTTAGAAGTATAATAAGTGATTGCCTAATGGGAAAAAAAAAAAAAAACTGAACAGATGACTGAAATCTCCAAGGAAGCATGTATAGACTGTCATGAGAAGAAAACTGAAAATTGATTTTTGGTGGAGGTATGTATTTGAGGAGTAGAGACCAATCCAAAAGACTGGAAGGAGTATATCGAAAGATGATAGGGGAGTAAAGAGAGGGTAGTGCCAAGGAAGCTGAGGGAGTAAGGGATCCTAAGGAAGAAAAAGTGGAAAATAAATTAGAACTCCGCACATATCAAAAAGAAAGGAATAGAAAATAGACCATAGGCTTTGGTCTAAAGAGGCCTTTTGTGACCAAGTAAAGAGTTAGTGATTTTAATGAGAGAGAGTAGAAGCTAGATTCCAAAGGAATGGAGAGTAGGAAAGCTCTGAGCATGCAAAGACAGCCAGCAAGATTTCCCAATTCGAAAGTCTCAGGGTACAAGAAGAATGAGATGGCAATGATGGTAGCTCCAAATAGTATGAGAATTGCAGGAAAATATTTATGAAATTAGAGGAGCTTTCAGCCTTTCAGCAGAAAGAAAGCACGATAGTTCTTTTTAAGACACTTTTCATTTTTGAATGTATTTAAAACTATTGCTTTTTTGCCTTATGATGCTATATACTTCATTACATTTTCAGCATTAGTTATTAAAGAAATCAGTTTTAAGCACATGTTGGGGTGTGTACTAACTTACTTTTTGCTAACTCTTCTACTGACGCTGTAATCTGCTTGATACTAATTCACTCTAATTCCATAGAATGGATTATACTAGAAGAAGATAAATCGATTTTTTAAGGAAAAAGAAAGACCTGGAAAAGTGAATGTCAAACACATTTTTTTTTCATTCAGCAATATCTGGTTAGCTGTAACTGATGCTTGTTATTGCAATAGATTTTGAAATCCTGCCTCAAAAACTTTAATGGTATTAGTGGATCAGTGAGCGTTATTTAAGGTTTTGCCTCATTTACTGTGATTTAGGAAGCAAGATGTACAACAGACAAATCCTAGGCACTTTATGAATGGTGCTGCCACCTAAGGCATACAGCCAGCCAATACTCACAGTGTGATATTTTATAATTTTTCCCTGATATGTGTATTTTGTGTCTATATATGTGTGTAATAAAAGTGCTTTGAGGATTGTAAAGCACTCTTTAAGAATGTTTTTACTTTATTTACTATAAATGCTGTACTGTAGATGAGCTACTTGACCAAAACTATTGAACCGCTTAGTTGATGATCAGATTTTTTTTCTGGTAAATAAAGCTCTCTGAATTAATTAATCAAAGAATTTTACAGAATAAGATTCATGGCAATTTTTGTTTTAAACCTGAGATTCCCAAGAAATGCTATCAAAAGATGAAGCAGTCTTTGAAATAGTAACAATAATTATAATATATAATATCTTGTAACAATTTATAATTTTAAAATAATGTATTCATTATACGTTTACATGTTTTATACTCATGTCTACAAAATGAAAATGAGGCTTTAATGGATAAAAAGCCTAACTAAGCTTGGGTGAAACACCAAGGAAACATAGAATAGCACTAATCACCTATCCTAACTATGCACCTTTACACACATCACACATTTAGCAAATAGTCCTTTCTAAGGAAGCAAAATCATGCTGCTTTTGTTGTTGCTGTTGTTGTTGTTGTTGTTTTGTCATTGTTATTGTTTTTTGAGACAGAGTCTTGCCCTGTCACGCAGGCTGGAGTGCAGTGTGCAGTGGTATGATCTTGGCTCTCTGCAACCTCCAATTCCTGGGTTCAAGTGATTCTGGTGCCTCACCTCCCAGTAGCTGGGATTACAGGCATGCACTATCACACTAGGCTAATTTTTTGTACTTTGTGTAGAGACAGGGTTTTGCTATGTTGACCAGGCTGGTCTGGAACTCCTGGCTTCAGGTGGTCTGCCCTTGTCAGCCTCCCAAAATGCTGGGATTACAGGAATGAGCCACAGCATCAGGCCCAAAGCTGTTATTTTATTGGCTTTTCTTCATCTGCAAAAGCATGAAGAAGAAATTAAAATGAGTAAAGAGATTCAGGAAAAGTCTTCCCAAACTGAAAAAATAAAGTCAGTTCTTATATAACACTTACCAATGACTACAACTTGTCTACATTTGTGTTAGGCACACCCTTCAAAATGGTGACTCAAACTGTTGAAAGCAAAAATCATACAATAGCTGTCATTCTGACAGTATGGAAATCAGTTTGAAATTTCTGTAAAACATTACACTTCCATGTCATATTTGTGTGACAAACCTCTGTTAATCGCTTGCAAGTTTGTAGAATGGTTTATCCACACTACCACGTTTAACACTGATTCTGTGAGAGGGGGCTCATTTTGACCATTTCCAGACAGGAAGCAGGTACTGAGAGGTGTCAGAAGTGGTAAAACCAGAATTTTCCATTCAAGCTTCCTGTCTCCCAGGCAAGGGTTTTCAGAAAGCATCTTTGTGTGGGGGTACGAAAGAGATTAGAGATCATATGGATATAAATTCAAGTCTTAATTCTAACACCTGACAGGTAGCTTTACAAGCTTCGCTACAAGTATTGTTAAGTTCTTTGAACGTTCTTTGCTGCAGGGTTTTTGTGAGGCTTAAATGAGATAATGTTTATGAAAGCACTTTGTAAGTATTAATTTTCTATCAAAATGTTAACAGTTGTGATGTATTTGCCAAAAGAAAGCTGTACTGATATTTGGAATGGTCTTGTGGGAATGATTTTAATGGGAAATAAATTGCCTGTGAAACAGTCCCAATCACGAATGCAAATCCTGCTGGCAAATGTGGCAGAGCCTGGAAAAGACACATTCAGATATTGTCTCTTTATCCCTCTAATGTCTCTGTGACTAAGGGAGTGTAGCAGCTGCTGCTATTACTATCACTGTCATAATCGTTATTTTTAAACTATTGATAGAAAACCCAAGAACAAGAAAGTGTGATGTGCATCTTTCTGTGGTGTGTTTGAAGAGTGTTTACGTGTCTGTGTAAGTTTTAACTCAATGTCTAGTACATAGAAAACACTCAACAAACTGTGCTACTATTGCTGCTACTGTTTTAACGCCATTTTATTCAAGAAAGCAAGTTTTAGCGTCTGTTATTCAGAGATAATCTCCAGGTATAAGTAGATTCCTTGGCTATCAAGAGACCACAAGAAGAAGTATTGGATTTAATTTGGCAATGGGGATTCATTTGAATAGGTAGAATTAATTATGAGTAACGTGATAAAGAAAAAATAACAGTTTTAAAATATTAAATGCGATTTTTGAAGCTAGAAAATTTAGTTGACTATGAGTTCTAAAACTGGGAGTTTTCAGAGTAGCAATAATAATCAGAAGAATTAACGCTAGCTGAGCCCTTATATTATGCGCCAGACATTATGGATGTTCTTTGTGTGTATCATTTCATTGGAATCTTGCAAAACCCCCATAAAGTTGGCATCATATAGATTCTTTGATGAAGAAACCAAGCACATGGATACCAAATGGCTGAGTCTGGCTATGAATACAGGTAATTTCACTCCAAACTGTTGTTATTACAACACTAGGCTATTCCCTCTCCCAAAATACCATTGAAGTTTATACTGAACTAATGTGACTATGCTGTACAGGAAAGGAGACTTAAGGGGTCCTGTTCTGCACTTTCGTTGTCAAATCCCTAGAGTCCAGGGCAAACAATGAAAGTTACAAATCAATATTGGCCTGGTGTAAGACAATCAGAATGAAGAAGACATTTGAGCCCATGTTACATGAGAGCATTTGAAATCATACTTACATAGCCCAATAATATAAAGGAGTCATCTTCAATTATTTATAGGGCCATCAAATAGAAAATAAATTGGGAACACATTCTTAAGGGATACTTCTATGATTATTGAGTAGAAGTTTCATGGAGATGATATCAGCTCTCTGAACATGTGCCAGAAATTCCTTTAGAGCAGACAAAACATAACAGTCTGACTCCGGATGTCTTCACATCTAGTCCTGTGTCATTGGTGGTATTTAAGCATCAGTTTTCTTATCTGATATACAGAAGAGCACATTTAGATAAACAGTGAGATAACATTTAGATAAACTGGATGATTTTAAATACTCTTCAAAAATTTGCTTTCTGTAACTTTGAAAAATGGCCAGTTTGGCCTTAATAAGATTCTGTGCTGAGGACTAAAAATTGTGAATATAAGTGTGTTTGCAGATTCCTGGCCCCCTCAAATCAGCTAAAAGACTTACGTACCTGTAGCCTGATTTGCTTCCAGTTTCTTCCCCTCCACTCTTGCAGGAAGGGCAAGGATGCTGTTTCCTGCAAGAGAAGACAAATCTGCATAAGAGAAGGGGCTGTAAGACATGAGAAGGTAGTGCTGGCTTGTATACTGTGGGTTGAAGTGAATTGAACAAAACCATCTGAGGGGTGTTCAGAAGATAGATGGGAAGATGATTTCAGAAAAGTTTCCGTGACCAAAGTTGATATAGGAAATTCCTCTGATGTTCTTTGAGAAGCAAAAGTAAATAATTGGATGTTTCTTAAAATGTGTTTGGCTGGCAAACTATGTTTCTTCAAAATAACATCATTCTGGGGTTGAGTCATCCTTTTGGTTTTTTGGGGTAATATGTTAGAGGGCTACCACCCAGGATTTTGCATTTCAGCTCCAGCACCCAGCCATACTCAGTCAGGATGAAAGTCATCACTAAACATGTGAGTCAAAAGTGTATTTTCATCCTTACTGCCAAGCTGTTGGAACAATGGAACTGATGAAGAAGAGTCCATCAAATCAGGAATTATACAGGAGTGCTGAAGAGTTCTTGAGAGGATGATATCCTAGTAAGACTTTCATCATTTGAAAGAAGACTCTATTCAATTGTCAAATTTTTCACAAGAAACACAAACCTATGCATGATCTCCAGCTTCAGCAAAACTCAGCAAAGTACCTATCCATCATGACATACCGATTTGGAGCTTGTGATTTGTTTCTTTTTATTTTTCTCCTAAGTGCCACAGATACCAATTAATATCGCATGGATATTGAGAGAAGTTATGTCCTACTTGAATTGTTTAAGACATTTGTTTTTGTTTCCATGATCCAGATCATATGATCCATCAGACAAACTCTGGAACGATGATGGTACAGGTTACCTGTACACTTAAAGTTAAGACTTCAATGATAGAAAATAGACCAAGAGTTGAAACACAGCCCGATACCACAGTAATATACTGAATTGTATTATTAACAAATGTATTCCTCCCCACCCCCACATCTGTGGAATGGAAGAAACTTCTGTCTGCTTACTTTGGATTTGGTCGGGTGCTTGCTCTGAGAAATGGAATGTGGACAACAGTTACTTTGTGTCAGCTCTGAGTGGAGATGTTGAAGGACATCCGTGTGTCTTCTGGATCTCCTGCAGCCCTGCTGAGATGAGCACAGCCAAGTAAGCGGTCCCAGAAGAACAGCTGAGCCCCACTTACAACCTGGAGAATGACTGAGGTAGCCTACATACAAAGTTATCAAAAAAAAAAAATAGTTTTATTGTAGGTATTAAGTTACTTCCAAAAACCCCAAAACGTTGTCTAATCCATAAGACAATGATAAAGAGGGTTAGCGATAAAGAAGTGTCATTGATTATCTACAAAACGTTTAAGGGACCATATAACCGATATTTCTTTGAAGAATACTGAAATGAATGTATGATAGTGATGGCGCTCTGACACCAAAATTAAAAAATAAATCTGTATCAGAGCAACGAGGGTGAGCACGCTTGATTTTTGTACTTAAACTAGAAAAATATGGGAAGCACATAACAATTTAATGGTGTGCGGAAGAAAGACTCCTGGTTACTCATAAGCAGTTAATTGAATAGATTTGGGTGCATTTAATATCAATAATTATATTATTTTTTACATAATGAATGATCACAAATTTAGTGGCTTAAAACAGCCCTCATTTCTTATCTCATAATTTCTGTGGATCATGAGTCTGGGCCCAGATTAACTTTCCTGAGCTCAGAAATTTACAAGGTTCAGGTCAAGATGTTGGCCAGAGTGTGTTCCCATTTGGAGGTTTCACCATGGAAGGATCCATGTCTAAGCTCGCTCAGATTGTTGGCAGATTTCAGAGGGATAGTGAGAGGAAGGGAGGTAAGGACAGAGAATGAGAAGGAGAGTTTATGTTCCTTAGAGCCTTTAACTTCATGGAAGGTCTGATCCTCTTTAAAAGAGCTCATCTGATTAAGTCAGGCCCACCCAGGATAATCTCCCTTTTAATTAACTCAAAGTCAGTGGATTAGGAACTTGAATTGCCTTGAAAAATCCTTTCATCTTTACCAAACAATATAATTATGGAAATGACATCTCATCTCTTTTGCCGTAGTGTATTGTTAGAAGTAAGTTACAGTTTCCACAGCATACAAGGAAGGAGGACTATACACTGCTGTGACTCGTTAGGGGTCACCGTCGGATGTCTATTACAGCATTCAATTAACTACATTGGACAGCATTATTACTCTGCAGAGCTCCTCAGTTTTCCCATTGATGAAAACAAGTCAGACAGAGGACAAAGAAAGATACGGCGACTCAAAAGTAGGGATGACTAATGAAGTTCAGACCGGAAGCCCTGAGAGGCGAGAGGATGGCTGGGATAAGACAGCTAAAATGTGTTTCTGAAACACCGCCAAGAAGCCATGTCTGATTCACTGTGAGTAAACAAGTTCTTTAATCTCCATCACAGCCACACAGATGTCCAGAGACAGGATCATTCCCAGGTTGAAAATAGGCCCCTCTAATTTGCTAACACTGTGGTGGGGCTGGGCAGGCACCCCAGAGCATCTGTCTATTTACACATCAGAGACCCCAAGAATGATGTGAAGTGTGGTTGCCTTGCAATATTGGCTAGGAGGGACATCTAGTGGCAGCTGGAAACTGGGAGGGTTGTCATCTGGTAAGCACATACCCTTTAGCAAATGAATGCACAGAGATTCTTAGTGGGGGTGCTGATGATGTGTTTCTTCTGCAGGAAGCCATTCATCCACCAATTTTCATTTGTGAGAAAAGACATTTAGAAGATCATAAACAGGATACATCTGGCAATATCTTCAAAGGCACCTAAGAATATTTACATTCCTCTAAGGAGGTGTGCTATCATTAGAAATAATTGTAACTTCTAGGAGCCACATTGTATTTTGGAGTGTGTTTGTGTGTGTATGTGAGAGAGAGAGAGAGAGAGACAGAGAGAGAGACAGAGACAGAGCAAAGACTGACCAGGAGAAGATTATGATATGGTAAAACATACACAGACAGAAAGAAGGAAGGGAAGGAGGGAGGGAGGGAATTATAGTGCTCTGGCCCCTCCACACTCTTCCCAGTCTCTCAAGACAATGTTTTTGTTTGTTTGTTTGTTTGTTTTTGCTAACTTGATTTTGCCTTCCCCACTCTCTAAGGTCTATAGCTTCCTGCAAAAATGGATTTTAGAATTTTGAGATACCTTTAAAACTGAGCAGAGGAAGGTGGGGCTTGAGAAAAAGGAAAAAAGTGAAAGATAAGAAAACTGAGTTGATCTATGTGGTACAGAGCTGAGAGGGTTGGGAGAGTAGGGATAAAGAGCAGCGATGATGCAGTGATGGACAGGCTGCAGGGATGGGCAGAGCTTTGAGCGAGGGGCTCTCATTAGTCTGAGGTGAGAGGAGGTTGTGAAGGAAGGAAAAGAGAGAGTGTTGTTGAGTTTATTTTAATATAATTAAGATTTTTTTGACAGATACCAGTTAAATATTGGAATTATTTTGACTGGTTTTATCCCAGCAACTAGTTAAAAGCCCACATGGTGGATGTCCAATTACTATTTCTAAATAGATGAATATCCTTAGTTGCTATCCTCAAAGGCCAGGTTGTACCAGTCTAGGCACAGCCAATATGAGCCTTTTGCAGAATGTGATGGTAGCTGATGCCACAGTGAAAACAGAGCCCAATGGTCTGGCAATGCTGAAAATCCAAAGCAGGTATCAGAGTTTTCCAGTATGACCTCAACACACTTTGTCAATCAATCCAATTTAACTACAGTTAATGGTGGCTTAGTTCACTGCAATCGTTCACGTTAGATTACAGAGGTGAAAAAAAGGCACAGGAAGCCCTCAAAGTCAAAGTGTTTAAATATAATAGGTGTTTAAAATACATCCGTCCAATAAGACCTGTTCCTTCAGAGATCGAATAATTCCCAACATTTTTTTGTTGATTGGTTTATGCTTCAGTTCTTTTATCTGCTTGAAATTTTTTATTCCCCCCCTTTACCTTTCTTCATTTCTGAGGCTCATCCTCAAACTTTTCTCATCTGTAAAATTAGCATTTTTGAATCTTAGAAGGTTCTGAGGCTGTTTCTGACTCTCTCCTAAAACTTCCCGTGGTTTTCTCTCATCACAAAGTTGTGACGGATATGAAGCCTTTATGTGCAAGCACGGTGCCTCAGGCCACAAGCTCAAGGCTCCAGGCAGTTTAGGTCTCTTCCTGGACTCACCACAGAACTGCATCTGCTCTCACTGGCAGCAGCTTTCTTTCTCAGGTTTCATACCTGTTCGTGTGTTCGTGTCCTGTTTGCCTGTTTGGTTCTCTGACTACAGGCTACAGGTCTTTTGAGGAAAATATCCTGTCTTGTCTTCCCAGACATTTTAAAGAAACATTGAAATATAGGGGAATGCTTTAGTTATTAAATCTGGCAGGAAATCAGTTTGGCAGAGATTTAGCAGTAGCTTGTGTGACTGAATGTATCTGAAATAATAAAACTGAATTTCTTTGGAATTCTTCCATTATTTTAAAGTTTTGAAATTCAAGTGAAATTGAGTTTTCCTCAATTACTCCCAATTAGTAATGTTTAGTTTCATATATAAACTATATACACACGCATTGCCAAAGGATAATAAATTCTGTGGGCTTTTCATTGTTTCCTTGTCATGAGATTTTGTTATAAGAAACACTATGATTTTCCCCCTCCTAGCCTGAAAGGAAAGACTTTCAGGGATCTCTCTGTGTTTACATGTTGATTGGTAGAGTTTGAGGCAGTTATATTGGAATTGGATGGGTGTTTGTGGCTTACGTATTTGAAATATAAAGCAAGTGTTTCATTATTGATTCCCTGTCTATTTCTAAAAAATAAAACAGGACAAGATAAAATGAATAAATGGGTCAAATAAGACTACTTGACTTAGGGTAAAGAAGCAAGAATTCGATAATGTCCTAGCATGCCCAGCTGGAAGAGATGGGGATTTAAATACCAGGGAGCTGACACTCTGCCGAGTGAGGTTGCTTAAAGAGCTAAGTAGAAAAAGGCCAGAGAATCTACCTGGGATGCTTTCTCCCCCTTTAGATTGATAATATCTGCCATCTCAGCCTAAAAGTTACTTTCTTAGAAGACACTTTCTTATACCCCCAGACAAAGTCAGGCTTACCTCTTATATATTCTCCTAGCATTATTTCTCTTTATTTTATAAAAGTCTTTGTAGACTTCCACATTGATATATGTGACTATTGGATTAATATCAGTATGATCTCTAGAGTATAAGAATGTGCCTGTCTTTTTTATTGTATTTGCATTTTGTTGCTGAGCATCAAGATTGGCAAAAGGAAAATCAAGATAATTGTTGAATAAATGCTACTGAATGAATGTGGGGAAAAAATAAAGAATGGGGGAGCAGAGATACTTAAAAAGAATCCCAGGAGTGAAGCAAAGTCAAGCCAGAAAAAAAAAATATTAGCAAGGAACAACTCCAATTACAAAAGTGAAATTGAATATATAAGAAAAGAAAATCAAAGGTCCAAGATGAGTAGATTTGAATAGAAGCAAACACAAGACCTGGCGTGATGGCTCAACGCCTGCAATCCTAGCACTTTGGGAGGCCAAGACAGATGGGTTACCTGAGGTCAGGCATTCGAGACTATCCTGGCCAACATGGTGAAACCCTGTCTCTATGATAAATACAAAAATTAGCCAGGCGTGGTGGTGGTACCTGTAATCCCAGCAACTCTAGAGGCGGAGGCAGGAGAATCGCTTGAACCAGGGAGGCAGAGGTTGCAGTGAGCCGAGATTCCATGGAGCTCTGGCTTGCTTGTTTTTAACACCAGCTTGTTGTACCTTGTGGGATTGTTTGGTTCAATGGCTTAAGCCATCATGTACAATACAGTGGGGTAAAAATCAGAAATAAAGACTATGGGAATCTTGTCTACAACTGAATACAAGATTTACCTGTACATTATTAATAGTCAAGGAAAAGAAGAAAGTATAATGAATTCCAGGCAAAAATATAGTAGCAAATTCTAGAGAAATTTACTGTTGATGTATACAGCAAGAAGAGAGGAAACTAAAAAGTAGTTATTCTTAGACTGTAGACCTAACAAATCACAACCCAGCCTTCCTCTCCCACTCCAAAAAGCAAAGTGTAGAAATATTGGTTATATCTGTTAAAGAATGGCTGTTAATGCCTCAGGAGAGAACATGCTTATG